TTCTTAGACAGTTACAGAAAATTAGAGAAGCTGCACAGAGATTTTTGCCAAAGATAGACAAAATTACTGAAACTTGCATAGATTATTTGATGTCCAAGAAGGAACAAACTAATGATACAGCCTTCCTATGATATGCTTGAAGTCAGTCAGTCAGTCGGTACAAGTTCAGAGGAAACCAGTCTTCAGTTATCTTGCTGCTTACAGAACTATTTTCCTTGTTGTCTCCAGGCCGATTTGCCAACCCTGAAACCAGGTCTTCAGGTGATCTAGCCCTTTGGCTAGGTCGTGATTATTCTGTTCAGGTATACCTGAAATTCAAACTGAAAACAAAGGATATGTGTGTACCACACGGCAGAGAGCTCTACAGAGATTGCATCCAGTCCTTGTTTTCAGCCATAGATGGGCTGTGTCATTGGGTCAGCGATTTGCTCTCCTTTAATGTAATTAAATTTCACCTAGAATTGTGCAGAAATGCTGCGTAAAGCTCCATTCGTTAGTGGATTGTGCATCCCGGACCCTTAGGACCAGAGCTGTTTTGCTTTTCTGGGGACACTTCTCAGCAGTTCCTACTGCCTCGGTGCTCCACAGAGCCAGAGATAAAGAGGTATTTTCAGATCACTGCTATTTGGAAAAGCCTGGGTTAAATCAGGCAAAGGCGGCAGTCCTTCCACATTAGGGCCTCCTTCCCGTGGGAAGTCTGTAGTAAGAAGTTTACATTTGCACAGCAAGTACAACAAGCTCTGCCGTCTCCCTCCCCACCAGCTGTCAGCTGAATGGGCCTCTCCTTTTTAAACTTCTTTCTAGAAGCCCGAAACCTGCACAGCTGATTATGCTTCTAGCAGCCTGCCGATTCTGTTATGACTGCACATCCCATCACACATGCCTGGTCCCCCGACTGGTTAAATTCACTACAACAAGCTTCTAGAGTTGTTACAGAAGTGTTCACACAGTAAGCTATGTGAAAGGAGATCATTATTTCATTTAGCTAAGATTTTCCATTCTTTGTGCCCTGCCCAAAATGTCTTAAGTTCATAGCACTTTAACAAATCGCTATGACGAATAGTAAGTTATTGTCCCTTATATCACGGTTCCTATTAGAACTTTGTGGAAAGCTACAAAATCTGGGTGGTGGCATTTTTTCTCTATTCACTTCATAACAAGTGAACTTTGTATAATGCAGTATTAAGGCTATCATGCATTCTTCTGTACACTGAATCTTTCCCCGCTATTTATAATTCTTTTGGACCAGATTGTTTTTACAGTATGTCTGATCTACAATTGCTCTTCTGGGATCAAAACAGTCAAAATAGGCAAGAGTTAGAACATCGGATTAAGAGCGTCAGCGATACAAATTGTATAGTCTAAAAAGAAAACAAGTTAAGCCATCCAAATTTGTGTTTAACTTCTCAGTGTTGATGGAAATATGAGTCTCATTCACCCCTCCTCTACCTTGTGTGCTGTACAGCTACCCTGCAGCCACAATGTAGAATTACCCTCTGCTGAGCAAAGATAAATGTCTAAAGCTATTCGAATCAGCTAGTTTAAAGCTAGCTCTGCTCTTTCT